AGGCGTGAGCACTGCTCCCGGCCTGTTGTTGCTTTTTAACCTGTCTCCCAGCGTTAAAAGTCTGTTTAAGAAAAAGGGTGTGTTTTCCACATTGAATTCCTATTTGGGGAAAAAATAATAATTTAAAAAGGAAAAGCATTACTTTACATAATGATCGTCAAAAAAAAAAAAAAAAAAAGGGGAAAAGCGTATGTTTGGGACTGGCACGTCCAGCGACGAAAACCAGCTGCTTATCCCGAGCGAGTGACTTCCTGCTGTCCTTTTCGCCCCTTGGCATGTCCTTGAAGTCACTGATCAGAGCGCACAGAGCCAATTCTGTGCTGGCGCCGGCCACACTTCAGACAGTCACTTTCAGCCAGACTGTTTTTCCCTGTTGCCTAATTAAAGACACTGGAAAGCTGTTCTCCCTCCTGCTGCCTTGCTCCAGGACAGCAAACTGAATTCAGCAGCAGTGCAGCCGTAGCAGGATGGGCCCAGGAGCTGATCCGTGGGACCTAAGATGCGGTGGCGCCAGCGGGCTCAGGGCGAGAACTGCGATGCGTGGGAGGACGCATGCGTAGAAACCCTGCACACTGGGAACTGTAGGGCTGGGAGGGCGCCCTTGCCCAGCCAGGCCATACACGCCCGCTAGGGCTGGGGCGCCACTGTCACACACGCGGCGGGTGGCCATGCCCGTATGCCCAGAGGTTCCGGAGTTCCTGACTGCCTCCTGCAGCTTCTCTCTGGGGGCTCCTTTGGGAGCCAAGGACTGAGCAGGGGGCCGTGAGCTCAGAAGGATCTTTCTAGTTTGCCCCGAAGCAGCTGAATGAAAGAGGTGGGCGCCTGCCTACATCCCTCACGGCTGCTACCAAGATGGGAGCACCTGCCTTGCTTCCTCCAGGCTGCTCAAGGGAAAATAATTTGGGAAGAAATAGCTGTTGACAGCTTCACACTTAGTGCTGGGAATATAACATCAGGGTGTTGCAGGTACATCTACGAGGGCATGAAGACAGGTGAGTAGGCCGACTGTCATCTCTCACGGTGTAAGTGTGTCTCAACCCTTCATGCTTTGGAATACTTCCCAAGCCAGAGAATGTGCTGGGAGGTTTGCGTGGAACTGTTGGGTTTCTGTTAATGCATGAAAGCCTCTGTTCCCAGGTCTGTAGGCCAGTGTGCAACCCAGAGGCAGAGACAGCTTCCGGTCCGGATTCCTGGGTGCTCACAACTCACACAAGTAAGTCACCCACATGTGCTAGAACCAGGACACAGCAGGAGACAAGACCCTAGGGACCAGGGCCAAAAAATCAAATCTCTTGACCGTCAGAGGACATGGAAATCCGTCCCCAGCCAGAGAAGAGCCACTCAGCAGGCTGGCGGTCAGTTGGCGTGTCCCGCCCTTGGCCTCTCAGAGGAGCAGGCAGGGAGGCTGAGCCCAGACCTTGCTGCAGCCATCAGCTCCTCCCTCCCCGACCTTGTTCCCTTCCTGCGTTGTTTTTTTTGTTTTGAGAAGAGTTTCACTCGTCACCCAGGCTGGAGTGCCGTAGCGCGTTGCACTACTGGAGTCTCCGCTCATTGCAGCCTCCACCTCCTGGATTCAAGCAGTTGTCCTGTCTCAGCCTCCCGAGTAGCTGGACTACAGGCGCTTACTACCACGCTTGGCTAATTTTTTTTTTTTTTTT